AATTGTGCAGGTGAGGATTTGCCCATGGAAAACAGCCTGGACACTGGCAAAATGCCACCAGAGGCAGCCCCAGCTTGGATTATTCAATACCTCTCACGGCAGCGGCGGTGGCTGGTGCTGAGATTGGGGTCAGGTCTACTTTCCGGCCAATGTCAAACCTTAATTTGGTTTCTGCAGCTTTCAATCTTGTACTTTTTCTTTTCCCTTTTGAATTTCTTTGTGAAACGCTACATTGCCGGGACCCTTTTGTTTCTTTCCCCAATTTCATGGAAATTCCTCAAGTGGCTGAATAACGTCTTAGCAGCTGTAGAAAGAAACGAAGGGAAGGTTCGTCGTGAGTGGAGAAACCCAATTATTATGCTTGCTTAATTAATTGCAACGTATCGAATGCTTTCCACACCATCTCACTGCCTGTTTTCTACTATTTCTGCAAAGTGAAAAATGTATCGTTGCAGAAATGTAAGTTGTGCCAGGGGTAAAGAGCTTTTCCATGTTTGATACGGCATCTTCATCCTACATGAGGATGAGGAGAGAGTGTCCAAGGCCAACGTTTGCGGCTTGATGTCTTCTTCTGAGCTTCTTCCATCCTTGCTCATGTGGCTGAGTTCAATCCACGTTCTTCCCCCTTGTTCCAGGAGACAGATGAGTTGTTTTATCACTTCTGGGAGCTCCACGATTGACCCTGATACAGCTCAGGGCTTCAGGAGGTTGTATCCCCAGGACCAAGACCACCAGCATCAAAACAATTGCCTGTCCTCATTCACCTGGCAGGGACAGGACGGCACTGATGGATCAACCACAGCAACCAGCATCATTTCAGGCTGGATATTAGGAAAAATTTTTTCACTGAAAGGGTTCTCAGGCATTGGAATGGGCTGCCCAGGGAGGGGGTTGAGGCACCATCCCTGGAGGTGTTCAAAAGACGGGTTGATGAAGTGCTGGGAGGTCTGGTTTAGTGATGATGCTCCTTGTTTGTTGTGTGGGTGTCTATTTTTGTCAGTTAGGTTGACGGTTGGACAAGATGATCTTTAAGGTCCCTTCCAACCTAGAAGATTCTGTGATTCTGTGATCATGTTTCCTACTGTAGTCGGGCCACGAAGAGACAAAATACCAACCCAATAAATTCAGGCAAACAGCAGAATTATAACCCACCGTAAGTAAAACTCCAAGCTATTAAACTGTCAGGAGCATTTCCCATCTCTCTGCCACCCCAAACACACAGCGTCTGGCACTGGAAGGGAAAAAGGAAAAGCTGGGGTTTTTTTGGTTTTTTTTTTTTTTTTTTTCTCATCTTTTAAGTAAACTTTGTCAAGTGTTGAGAACACGTGTGATGGCTCGTACCCGATGAGCGCACACAAATCTTCCGCCCCGCCAGCCCCACTTATCGTAAAACCCGGAGACGCTGGGATCTGTTGAATCCCTCCTTGAGGAGGAGGATGAATTATGGCACGAGCAAAAAGATGACACGAAAATACTGACACACACCAGTTGCCAGGGCTTTATGGTTACGAAGCCAACGCGTCGCGTGGCGGAGGGAGGAGACTACAGCAGAACAAGGAATATCTTTTAAAAAGCAATATCGATGGGGCTGTATTTTATATAAAATAACCCTGGAAGGGACCTTCTGTCCCAAAGATGAAGTAATTAAACCTGTTTATCTACACAAGACCTCACTAAATGATGTGGTACCAGTGGGAAAGGAAAGATGGGAGGGGATCACATCTTCTCCGTGTCCCGTCACCCCCGATAAAGTCATGATAGGGAGCAGCTCCCTCCCCATCACTGGACAGAAGGTCTGACCCTCTGACCCCAAGATGGTTGCACATCTCCATGAAAATCTCATTATTTTAAAACCAAGATCAAAAAAGGGGAAAAGCATCCACAAAAGCATACGGTGCCTGATGGCACGTGCACCCCCTCTGCCTTTTACCCATCCTTTGCTTTTTAAAGTTGTTTTAGGTCACCTCTGCAAACCACATCCCTTGAAAATCATTACTGCTTCCTTCCCCATACCCAAAATCCACCCCCTTGAAAAAAAAAACCACCCAAAAGCAACGTTAATGCCTGAATTTGCAAAAATCCTCCCGTCAAACCCTTGGCTCGATCCCTCTCCCAGAAATTGCACCCTGGGCTGGTGTTTCCCTGCTCAATCCCAGTCCAGAGGTCCATTCATGGACAGGCTGAATCCATCTGCCTTTGCCGAGTTGCCCACCTGTGACTTTGCTGTTTCATGGCAAATTTAGACACTTTCTTGAAAAAAAATACATAGTCCGGAAGAAGCATTTTAAATATGGGATATGAAAGACCTGGGCTTGGGAAAAGCTGCCTCAGAAACACTGGTTCTCCAAAGAGCAGCAGAAATACTGATATATTAGTGGTGAGTAGTTAAGTTCTCCCACCATCTCCCAGCACCTTAATTAAAGCCACCAGTGGCTTCCATCATGGACAGCTTGAGTCACCCCCTTGCTGAAAGGCAGGACCTGTTCCACCTGTGTCCTCCCCAAAAGAAAGTTCATGTGACCTATTCTGTAAAAAATTCCAATAATGGACATTTCAGAGTCAACCCAGCCAACTTATTCCAGCACTTCATAATCCTCACCCTTCAAAAGTCCTCCATGAACCCTTCTTGCAACAGTTTCATCCCCTTGGCTTTTAGCTGCTTCACCTGGCCATGGAGAAGACATCATTCCTTTGCTTGGCAGCTCTTCATGAATCATAGAATTGTCTAGGTTGGAAGGTACTTTTCAGATCATTGAGTCCAACCATCCAGCCCCTCCCATCTCCTCTTCAGATTGCACAGACCCAGGTCCTCCACTTTTCCAGTCCTCCCACCCATCACTCCTCCCAGTGGTCAAACTCTCCTGAAATCTGGCCCCAAAACCAGACCTCCTCCATCTACCATCTCCCCTGCCCACATCTTGGGGGGTTTCACCCCTTTTCTTGCCCTCCAGCGAGATGTTTCCTGCCTTTGGTGACAGCTTCAACACCCGAGGATGGCATTTATGGCAAAACCACCCTTGAGTTGTTTCTGTGCAGCCCATTACCCTGATTCAAACACTTTGGAAAATCCCATCATCGTCAGCAAAGCTCTTGTAAAAATCCAACGTCGCTGACACCAGGATTTGCTTTGGTCTACAAACCCTTGAGCTCCCCTGATGGCCTTTTTTTGGTTTTTCCACGCCTCCCGAGGCTGATCCTTGCCCATCCTCCTCCAGAACACGGCACTGAAGCCAAGGATTTCACAGCTCCCAGGTAGGATCTCAGACTTCAAAACAAGCCATATGGACGCCCCGCTCATGAGCGTGCAAGGACCTATTTGCAGAGCCAGCAGCCAGGAGGACGTTTCAGGCGAGTCAGCCAATGGAAAATCTGTCCTGAGTGGAGCTGAGTTGCAAAAAAAAAACCAGCAAACTGTCCCCAAATCGCTGCCGAGCATCCCTTTAATGCTCTCAGAAGGGAGATTACCTGAAAGCGATGCTCCATCAGCTCCACGCCCCCTCGGCCACCGCAGCATCCTCATCTTTGTCATCTAAAGGCATCTTTTCCCAGCCCTGGGTGCCTGGGGCAGTTAATCTGTGGTTTAAGCTAAATCTCTGCCCTCCTCCCCACCAGCAGTAAGGATTTATCATCACAGCCTCTCCCTCTCCTGCTGCCCCTCATTTCTCTCTCTCTATTTTCTCTCCAACACCACTCACCAGCTGCGCGAGAGCGTCGGTGGGGGGGAGTTATTTCACAGAATCACAGAATCGTAGTGGTCCCACCAGCAGTAAGGATTTATCATCACAGCCTCTCCCTCTCCTGCTGCCCCTCATTTCTCTCTCTCTATTTTCTCTCCAACACCACTCACCGGCTGCGCGAGAGCGTCAAGGGGGGGAGTTATTTACTCTTTATTGAGACGTTCCTGTTTGCTCCTAATTTTCCTCCTGTTCTTTATTGAGATGTTCCTGTTTGCTCCTAATTTTCCTCCTGTTTTTCAAACTTCCTGCACCAGCTCAGCTCTCCTGCTGACGGGATTTCTGTGCCTGCACAAAGCTCCTTCCATCCCTAATCCTGCTCTTTGGGGGTTTAAATCTACCCAGGACACCCCACCACGCTCACACCACTCGGGGTGAAGGTGGTCTCGGAGGCTGCACCTCTCAATGACTCCACACTATTTATTGCCTCTCTTCATCCACTTTCCTACCAGACATGAAATAATTTCGGCATTAAATTGCTTCATTTATAGCATTATCCATGAACATATTCATCCTTGCACCCTTCACCCTTCCAGCAAAGAAACACGATAGCACAAAGACGTTGGATTTGCCTTTCCCAGCTTAATTGTCCCCAAAATGTGTCAATAAAACAGTTACGGGGGAAAAATATTTGACCCCAAGTAGAAGCTCAAAAAAAAAAATAATCACAGAATCATATGGGGTTGGAAGGGACCTCTGTTGATCATCTAGCCCAAAACACTTCAAGCACAGTTTCAAGCCTGCTCTTGCCCAAAAGCCACACTTGAGGCATCAAGAACAAGAGGAGCTGAACCACAAATTTAATTGAAGCTAAAGGTAAAGCTGTGTCAAAATGCCTCTTTCATAGTTATCTGCAGAACGACCTCCCAGCCTTTCTTAGGTCAATATTGAATGCCATTTGATGAGCATCTCAAACACATTTAACCTTGCGGTGCCATTTGAAGCTGCCCAAGATTTTTCTCAGTTTAACAAAAGAAACCAGTTTAACGGCGCATCTCTACAAACCTGAACTAAACGTGTGTTAAAAAAACTCTCCATTTTCTTAAACCTTTCGTTTCTTCTATATTATTTTCCCCCCAGAGCTACTATAAAGCAAGAAGAGCTGAGGGATGTGTTCTGGCACCAATGGGATGCCCATTCGGGCTCCCACAAGGATGAGTTGCACCACATGTGTTGGGAATAAAGACCTAAAAGCCAACCTCTAACACCAAAACTGGGATGTCGTTGGCTTTTGGGTGCAAACTGGGATAAATTCTTGCTGCTCACCTGCTCTGCCAGGGCTCTTGGTGCTCAGGTCTCTTCCCCGGATGGGGGTGCTGGATGTCTTGGAGAGTTTATTGGCCGACACTCGGTACATGACGCCGCCGATGCAGCGGTAGCCTTTGCTCCTCCATCTCTGTTGAACGTGCTGGGATTTGCCACCTTGAGGTGATGGGCGTGATTGGTTTAAGAGTGGGGATCTGCAAGGAAACAAGAAAGTCAAGGTGAGCCCCCCAAAAAAGATATCACAAGGAGCTGCTGCATCACGAGGAAACCCTTGGCTGATGGAGGATGGAGCAGGGAAGAACCATGGATGCTCTTGCTGTAAACAAAAGAAAAGCTCTGATTTCTCGTGATTTACATCAAAAAAATCCAACCCTCAAGGACTCTCCCCCCTGGTATTGCTTTCCCAGTTCTGGAGCCTCCAACATCAGAAGGACATGGAGCTGTTGGAGAGGGGCCACAGGAGGCCCCGGAGATGCTGGGAGGGCTGGAGCCCCTCTGCTGGGAGG